ATGCAAAACAGGTGTTGCACTGTATTAGCGGCAGTAGTAATAATGCACCTGTAATTTGGGAGTGCAATACAGTCAATATGTGTGGCATATTTGTGAGACAGCACAATTAATGGCATAAATAAATTATTAGTTCAGTAATTAATTAAAAGTAATTTATAGCATATTTTCTGAACTATTTGTTTAAAAATATTTAGGTGAAAAATGTACAGTAGTCTATTATACTGTAATAGGTTTACTGTATCATATCATACTGTATCATACAGTATACTTTTTTACTTGTTTTACTGTAAGCCCCCTATTTGCCCCCTTAATAAATTTTAAACATATCGGGTGAAATTTTATGCTAAAAATGATTGTAACTAAACTTATTGTGTTAATTAAATGCTGTATTTAGTTGTTTTAAATTTTAGTTAATATTAAAACTTTAAACAGAATAATTTAAACAATTTTTACTCTAAACAAAATAATTTATTAGTTACAAAGTATCTTTATTGCAGGTAGATATAAGGTATTGTTTGATAAAATACTTATTTACTGGTCATAAAGTGTTCAGTTTTAGTGAACACTTTGTTATCTTTAATGATTGAAATCTAATGATAGGATTAAAATGAACTTTAAAAGTGATTAAAACTGTGAAACAGTGTAATTGAGTGCAAAAATGTGACGTTCACTCCCCATAAATGTCATGTCTGTTGCGAATAGCTCCGTGTGTTTCAATTTAATTTTTGTAGAGATGTTTGCAGCAAAAAGTATATAGTAATAGTAATTATGGTCAAAATCAACCCAGACACTTTTCTTATTAGGCAATTGTGCGGTAATAAATGATCAAAATGATTAGATAAAACACCCAGCTCATATTATTAAGTAGCTTTTTCTGAACACATATCGGCTATTCATAGTCTACCAGGTAAAGACCTCTATCGCTTTGTACACCGTATAAGGAACTAAATAACAAATAACATTACACTTAATTCATATTGTATAGCCCCTTTGCCAGTTTTCAATAGGTTTACGTGTGTTAAAAATGGGAGTGGTTTACTACAGCAACACCTTTCCCTCTCATCATATGTAACGTTATGTGTTAATAGCGCTATCATAGACGGCGTTTTGAATGGTTTGCTGAAAGAGTGTGAGAGAGAGGAGAGAGACTGCGAGAGAGCTGTGGGAGAGATACGAGAGATTCGGTTAAATAGAGTGCAGTCTCCAGTAAAGGCTTGCGTTGAGAGCACACACACAGCACTCTCTCTGTCTCTCCCCTCATATCACACAACACTAACCGTTCTTCACATCCATTGCCTGTTCACAGCATTCATAGCATTCATAGCCCACTGTATGTACGGCTCATTGAAAGCAGAGTTCAATTCATACGGCAATTGACTCCTCATTTAGTGTACAAATCGTGTGATTAGTGAACAATAAGTGCATTACATTCAACCCATTCATACATATTGTGTACAAATATGTTGTGTTCATACCATTTATGACATACACTGCGAGCCATTGGGTGCACCACTGAATAGCCAGTAATTTGTGGACACCGTTTACCCTATTAATTGTCTGCGTGTAGACATCTCGATCACCAATTCATACGTTGATACCATCGGGTGATAGTTGTCTGAAGTGATGGTCGACTCCGACAAATTGAATATCGACTCAATCATCCAAAGACTTCTCGAGGGTTTGTATTGACCACTAGTGGTGTCACCCATTCATGCCATTCATTGTCACGTTAAGTGTCCGTCCAGTCGGTGTGTCTGTGTTTTTGTGATCCCTTTCCACGTATGGGTGATATGTTTAGCGCGGATTTGAGGCCACAATACACGAGACGTCGAGTTTGTCGTGTATTTTAAGCCACAGATTATAATTGCCGTCAAATGAGTCACTCGTTTGTGGTTTGGTTTTGTGTTTAGTTTGGTTTGAAATGTGTTTTTCTGGCGTTTAATTCAATACGAGACGTCGAGTTTGTCGTGTATTTTAAGCCACAGATTATAATTGCCGTCAAATGAGTCACTCGTTTGTGGTTTGGTTTTGTGTTTAGTTTGGTTTGAAATGTGTTTTTCTGGCGTTTAATTCAATTATAGTTACGAAATAACACTTTGTTTTTAAGTCTCTTTTTGCATAAATTATTTGTGTCTTTGTTTTGTTGAATGTATTTTTGGTTTGCGATTAGATTTTTGTAGTAGTTTTTGGTTACAAATGTATGGAGTATTTGATTGTATGTATGATTAGTTTTAATCTAATTTTTTTCAAGTAATACTCCACTCGATGGTAGAGTAGTTTTAATTGTCATTTGAAAAAGATATTTGTTTTTTGGTATTTTACTCTATATTTTATTGTGTATTATAATTACGGTTATTATTAGTGATAATTATTAATAACGCAAAATTCAAGGCTTTTTCTAGCGTTTGATAACAAGATTTTTTGTGTTTCTTATGAAAAGTCATCAAAAATTAAAGTTTTTTGATCCAAATTATCGTTTAATTATAATTATAAGTTTTGGTGTCGTTTATATATTTGATTAATTAATGAGTAGTTTTTTAAGGATTAGTTATTTTTTGTTTCTATAGTGTATGTTTTTCTAATCACTTTACATAACATTTTAATTGATTATCAGTTAAATATGTATTTTTGAATCGATGTCAGGCTTTTAACTTTTTTATTTTAAATATATAGTAATCTTTTTTATAATCCGATCATAAGTTAGAGTTTTTTAATAGTTAAAAATGGATTTTAAAAAATATTGATACAAATGATTGATAGCTATGTTTCATTAGGACTTAAACATTGAACTCATTTTTAATGCTATTTTTAAGTCTTGTTTTGTGTGAATGCATACTATTTTTGATGCTGTTTTGTGTCATTCATTAGCGATGTCTATGTGTTTATGAATTGGTTTTAAGTTTTTTTTGTTGACGGCTTTGTGACTAATTTTATGGTTATTTTTGCCTGTATTTTGCAGTCCGAGGGTCGAGACCGGGAAAGAACGTCCAGTTGTCCGAAGCGGAGATCAAAAGTCTTTGCGTCAAATCGAGGGAAATATTTCTGAGTCAACCCATACTCCTCGAGTTGGAGGCGCCCCTCAAGATATGCGGTAATTTGATTGCGTGTTGTTTAGGCACCGGGTTTTGGGTTTCATTTTGTAATTAAAAACTGTGTTGTTTTTGCACTCATTTGTGAGGCGCCCCGTGTCTGCCGGTGCGCGAACGGCCGCCTTTCCAAACACCACTCCATTTCCCACCCATTCTCACAGGAATTTAATTATTCATTAATTTGTTTCTCGCATTTCCAGCGAAATATATAATTGATGTATAAAATAGTTGTTTTAAATTTTTCATTTCAATGTCTGTAACCCTTGTGTCGACAATAGGCTTGACGTCAGTGTTGTCACAATCAATACATTTATTTTGCTATTTGTTCTCATATTTCTAATTAAAGTCTCAACTATCGAGGCATTTATTGTTAGTTTAGTGAAAACGCTATACGTTATCCGCACTTTTATTTTATTTACTTTTTAATGAATTTGTGATTACATAAGGATTATTGGGATTATAAGACTATGAAAGCGTCACTACATGAAAGGCATTTCAATAGCGGTCTGCAATGAGAATCCGATCTTTGAGTTATCAATAGGTTTTCGAAACTGAATTAATGTCTGATATTTATCACCAGTTCTCTCATGAATACATAATTGTGTATATTTTTCTGCCATAACTTATGATATTTACACCAAAAAATCTGTTCATATCAAGTGTTTATAACTATTTTTCTCATAATCGGTTAAAGTGTATAGAAATTTACATTCAAATCGTTTCAATGCATTTGACAGTGTTTTCAACATTTGCTAGTTTTTTGCTATAAAATAAATACAATTCTTTGTGTGCTATTAATAAATAGTAGTTTCCAATATTGCTCTCTATTTTAATAGCTTTTTTACGGCTATTATGAGTTAAAATGTTATTCAATGATTGGGTTCCCCATCAGCGCCTACCCCCTCCTATTGATCATCTCTATGTTTATTTAGCTTTTGTTTAATTTTAGAAATGTTTTTTTAGTTATAAAATGAGTTTCTCATTATAAATAACTATTAAACTCTATTAACTTTTATTGTATTGTAAATCACTTTCGTTTCAAATGGTTTTTAATGTCAAAAGTATTTGTGTTCACTCGATTATCGAGACATTACTCTTAAAGTAGTGGAAGTTTTGCTCTTTTACAGTAATGTTTGGTTTTGTGTAAAATAATTGTAACATTTTGCGCTCAATTAGTCGATAGATTTATTGTGTATTTAGTAGTTGTAGTGAAATGTTATGAAAAACTAGTTCAATGTTACAATGAAGTGAATTGAATGTGATTTTTTTGGTTACACATTATCTCCAATTGTGAACAGAAATACTATATATCTTTTGCTGATTATCTGATTCAGTCGATTAGTTCAAGGCCTGAAACCCTCTCCTCCCGTCTCCCAAACCCCTCTCTCCTCTACTCTCCTTATCAACAGTCGATTTGCTGTTGTGTTTGGTTTTCTCCGGCGATTACTTGTCTCCTAACTCTCGATGTGTTGTTACAAAAGTGTTTTAATCAGTGTTTTTGTTATTTTTTATGATGGGTTCCCTCCCATTGCCATGTATGGGCTGATCTATAGGTGACATTCACGGCCAGTACTACGATCTGTTGCGTCTCTTTGAATACGGAGGCTTTCCTCCCGAATCCAATTACCTATTTCTGGGCGATTACGTGGACCGCGGGAAGCAGTCCTTGGAGACCATATGCCTACTGCTCGCCTATAAAATCAAATACCCGGAGAACTTCTTCCTGTTGAGAGGCAATCACGAGTGCGCTTCCATTAACCGCATCTACGGCTTCTACGATGAATGTATGTCCACTTGATTTATTGGGCACCGGCAGTGGTCCGGTGTCTGCACTCTATCTGATATCAAATCATTGCTAATATATTGTGGTTTTAAAAGGCAAACGACGCTATAATATAAAGCTATGGAAAACGTTTACCGATTGTTTCAATTGTCTTCCGGTGGCGGCCATTGTGGACGAGAAGATCTTCTGCTGTCACGGAGGGCTCAGCCCTGATCTCC